TCCTTGTGTGTGTGTGAAATAATAAGACTGTAGAAATCTTACAAAAATTAACACAACCTTAATAATAAAACAGACAAAATGAAAACCCAGCATACATACTTGCACAGACAGAATCACATTCGAAGTTTTACTATAAATCATATGATATGCCTACATATCACACCACATCTATTTTAAATCAAGGTTGTCATAATTATTACTGCTACTGTATTCGTGTTTGTCATTCTATGTGTCATATACAATTATCCAATCATATCTATTACTATTATTAAGGTCTAAAGTTGTGAAATTATTTAATGAAGCCTATTTTCAAATGCACCTTAGATGCATCTGTAGGCCTGGAATTCCTACCAACAAAGAAACTTCTATCCATTCAAAAAATTAATAAAATACAGCAATACTTTGTCGTCTATAAATATAATTTTCCCATCAACTTGAAAGGCTACAATTGGTTTCACTATCAGATTTCTCTATCCAAGGAGTGTACATCATACTTCTTCCATGTATTACAACTCATGTTTATCTGCATGCTACAGAATGTAACTGTGGAAATGAATTCAAACAATTTCACATTCTTAAGTAATTGAACGACCTTTGATTTCCGATGGAATGAAATATACTTCCCAATGTTTTGGTTGAATGTCATTATCAAGGAAGTGATATAATTGGATAACTAAAAAGAATATATAGAAACAGTTCCACAAGTCACTACAGAAGCACATTACATCCTAAAGACTATACCCTTACAGAATGGACACCTTAAACTTTATTATAAACTCGATTTTCAAAACCCACAAGAAGAAACGAACAATCTCTCCATCAATAGTACCGAATTAACATCCGATATAAATCTATTCACACAATACATCAGTAAGACAGAAACTGTAAAATTAACAAAACTAATAAAACACTTTCACTTCATATCAGATTACTACAAATAATGGAAAAACCCTCATAGAACAGTTGGTCAATTATGTTATTTTTTACATTGAAAAACTGTGAAAAAAATCTGTTTTGTCAGCAATAATGGAACTGAAAAAAATGCGCAGCCAAAAACATAATCTGTGAACTAGAATCCAAAAATTGCAAAAAAAAACGTACATCAGTGAAATAATATGACCCGAAGAACATGCCCATGCCTATGAATACGCCAACACCCTAAACTAACAGAAACAAACAAGGAGTGCTTCAGCTGCACATTATTTAAACAACCATGGTCCTCCTCCAGCAAGTGTACCTTGCCCTTGTAACATCATTATGGCTCTCCACCAGTGACTGAACCTGGTCCTTTTAACAACAAAAGACAAAATACTTCAAACAAAGAAAATACACAAAAGTAACCCTCATCAGGGAAAAACACATAACAATCAATAAAAACATTTGGTATATATAATCACACTTCCTCCACTAAAGATAATATTTCTGGCTTTCTTATATTAATGTTTATATCAGTGTGTAAAAGTTATAGCTTGACAGAATTTTATTTTTATGTACATTTAACTTGTAACTTTTATAGCAATACTTTCTTTATCATACACAAAATAGCCGCTAAAAATCGGATTTCGATACCCGTAGTAGGCACAGCAAAGGCAACCCACTGTGTAGCTTTGTGCTTAACTACAAACAAATATGAAATAAAAAATAGACTCATATTTTAATAAATGCATAATTTAGAATGCAGTAAACAACAACTTGCAACAAACTCACGTCATTGATATACTGCTGTAACGTGTTCTATCGTTGGGTGGTTTATTTTTGGATTATTTGGTAAAAATAATGCCAAGTCTAGTACACGTAATGATAAAAAAATTATATATTTCTTCAATAGCGTTTGCTACATGCTACATTAAGTTGTAGGTCTAGCTTCAAAAACAACATTACTTGCAAAGCTTCCTCACTGATTAATCAATAACAAACATGCTAACTGAATCATAGGTGGACAGATGCAACAAATCTCACTGTCTTAGTCATTAACAGATACTAAACTGATAAACTCTTTCAGCCATATTTATATCATCACTCATTTACTACTTACTACATGACATTCTAGATATTGCGTCGTAACGAAAAGCTAACAAACATCATGAAATCAAAATATTGAAAATATAGCTTACAACCCCGCCTTTTTCTGAATTCTGAAATCCTTTGACCAATCGTAATACACAAATATAATATTACACTAAACTGTCTATTCACCAAGGGTTTTTAGTGGTATGCTTATAGGATGACTCCTTTTCCCTTATTACCACGTGTTTATCAGTCTTATCAGTGGGGAGTTCTTCCTACTTAAGTGGTCGAGTGAATTCACTTATAGCTCTATCCTTGATGATCCTCTTGAAGTGATCTCGACAAGAACCCTAAGCTCCCCAATAGGTTGGTTTTCCACTTGCAAATTCTTCTCTGAAGTTACCCACTTGGCCATCTTCTCACTGATGTACTTCCAAAGACGATCACGGTGGGTGATCTTTGACTTAGAAATTAAAATATAATTTTAAAATTTGATTTATCAACTGCATTTTGATGCCAAGTTTATTCGTATACATTAATAATAAAATAGTTTAACTAAGTTTTGAACATTTCTCTAAAAAGTCGTGACACGCACACTTTAACTTACCTGTATTGAGCCAGTCAAAGTGTATAAAAACTTCAACAATTTAAGTATATATATTTTTTCACTTTGTTTTTTCTTTCCTTTGCTGTCTTGTATTCGAAATTATTCAGTTTATAATATTTCTGGAATCTTCATTTTGCCGACTTTTGGACTTGACTATCAGTTATCAGTGAACCTGTACCACAATATGAGTTATTCTACCCCTAGCATGAATTGTTTACCTTGATTGACCTAGAACACACCATGTTATATGAAACCTTTGATCTGTTGCCTTGAAAAACTGGTCAACAGGTCACGTGACTGTTGCTCAGTTGTCAAAGCCACTGCCAAGCATGCGTGACGTCGTGCATGTGTAGTTCTTTCTAGCAGAAGAACTTTGCAGATGAAAAGTTATTGCATAATAGTAAAAACACTCTGATTAACTGAAATCTAATTACAAACAATTTGCTCAAACCCTATAAAATGAATGTAGATGTATCTCATGACTTACGAGTTCAGTTACTCATAGATGAACAGCTGTAGAATTTGATTACAGTGTGGTATGCGGATATACCATGTTTATCTATCTACTATTGTAACATAAAATTATTCCAAATTATTTATTGATTCATTTCGACATTATCATGGAGACAACACGTCCTTCAAAATGTCTAACATTATCTTTCTCTAGTAACTTCAGCCCTTTGTACTTTTGTTAAACAACATCTTCTGCCCACAAGGATATTTTGTTACTGTATCTTGAGCCTTAGGTTGAACTAGTTAGAACTGAAATATCCTTTGCTGGCTGAACTATGATGTGAACTAAAACTGATAGCTTGCCAATTTTGTTAGGGAATAGAGATCATAAAGTGACACCGTTCACTAGAAACGAAAGCAAGATAATGTTCAAAATCCAAGTACACTTTCTTTATTCTATTATAAATGTGAGATAGAAAGCTCGTGAACTATTCACTAAATTCAGTTGAGACTATTATCTACTTGTGTATCTAGATACGCACATTGTTTCTTATATTGTATCTAAATGAAGATTGTTTTCTCTATCAGCTAAATGTGTCTAATATTTTTATTTCTCACAGAACTTAAGATTCAATCAAGTCATCAACCACAGAAATACTTTCCATATTTTTTTTTTATCTAATCTATTGTTATTTGCGGGTTTGTATGTCATATACTTGTCGGGAAATTGGTTTTACCTGAAAATACCACAGCAAAGAAAGGGTATATGTGTGTGTTTATTTATAGTAAAGCCACACTGGACCATCTGATGTGTCTACGGAAGAGAATCAAACCCCCTGATTTTAGCGTTGTAAGTCCATAGACTTACCGCTGTCCCACCAGGGGACACAGAGAAAGGGAGTAGGAAAACTAGAAATATAATCAAAGGAGCTGTAAAGATATTCGACGGATACTGCATTGCGTGAAGGTTAAATGTGATTGATAACGACTGAAATCTCGCCAGCTCATTTTATGTCGAAGTTAGACAGAAGGGTACTTCAAACGTTTGTTATAATTTGTAAACACGTGAAGGTACAATACTTTTCTTTTTGCGATCTGATTTTCAATAAATAAGTTATTGAATTAGCTTGGACCAATCCTCGATTAAGTTAATTATTTCTTATATAAATATTGTAATCATCTACAAAATGGGTCTATGATCTTCATAACCATATTACCAATATTGGCATGTGCAGAGGAATAGGCTTATAATAGACATATATTGAGACTATGAAATGTTGTATAATTACAACAACAACAATAATAATAATACGGATAAATTTTTATTGATATATTTTTCTTAATTCTTAAAATTATCAAAATCTTCAATGAAATGTTAAGTTTTGATATTTACATGTTAGACCGGGGAGGTAGGCTAATAATGTGTGACAATGCTAATTAATCAAATTGTAATAAAACTGAAAAGGAGAGGGAGGGTGGGGTAGAATGAAACAAGTATTGACTGGTGACAACAAATCATTTGTTGGCCTTCGGGAATTAGAGGAACAAAGTGTGGTTGTTTTCTTTGGCCTTCCAAATATTTTTTATTCTATCAATTCATGAAAGTTTAGTATATAGTGTGTTTTATTACTGATTTAGTATGATAATATTTGATATAGTTTATGCAGTTATATTTAACAATTAATTAAGATTTAAAATCATTTATGGTTTCAAATTCACAGGCAAAACACTAATAGTAATAAGCTGCACAAAGCTTACAGTTACATTACTAATATGATATCAATTACATAGAAATGAATAAAAACCATATAAGTATAACCCGAGCGTTTTCGAAAGGTGGACAAACCCTGAAGAAGAAAGGGTTTTTATTCATTTCTATCAAGACTTCTTGAACTTGCGTGTTTTTCTAACATCACGAATATCAATTACATACATATTACAATTAATAAAGACCAAAGTAACCTCTTGTTATTATGCTATTAAGTCTTTTAAATTTCCAGTGAACAAGTGTGTTGTTCATTAAGGAAAATAACATTTTAAGTTTAAAATTCGTTTTTGGTGCACGTATATATGAACTATTGGTGTGAAATTTAAGCGTTTTGTCCAAAATTAGATAGGCCTGATAAAATCGTCATAGCCACGCTTTCGAGTACTTGACGTCCTCGAGTTTCAACACAGCAGAAATAAAACGAAGCGGTAAGCCTGATTGATTGTTATGACATCGCGGTTGAAATTTAAAATTAATGATTTATTAATAGATAGCTAAGTATTAGAAACGCTTGTTTGGCTATTTTCGGTAATAAATATACTTTTTATATCGTAATGTCACTGATGAAAATTGAAGTGTTAAATTTTCAATCGTACTCGTATGTTTACTAATTCAAGTTCCACTGAAAACTTGGACTCGTAACCTTCAGTACTTGAAACTGCTTCAGCCTCAGGCTTTTCGTGTTATTGTTACACACCTATCGTAATAATACTAATATTCTGTATTGTATTCGACAGGTGTATGACCAAAAACAACAACAGCGTAGCTCTAACACTTACACCGTAAGTTACAACTTACAGTAAGTTTTATGTCACTAACAGTAAAATTACAGAAAAATAGATTTGACAAAAAATAAGGCTTTTATTTTATAAACATGTGTATTCAAACTCAAATTTTCAAAGTTATTACCCATAACTTTCAGCCCATATTTTTAACTTTATCATTCGACCATTAATATTATTCATACAAGAAATGATTGTTTAAATGTCAAACTTTGTTGTTAGTGTTAGTATGATTGTCATAACTTAGACATTTCAAAGGAATGTTGTTGCAGGTGAGAGGTCTTAAAATGTTAACTTAAATAACACTATGAAAAATTAAAGGGACTAAAGTATTTAGTTAAGTTGTTACCAGCAAAACTGCTGAAGTTGAAGTATATTATAGGAACACAATTTATTCAGCAAATGCATTTTCTGATATAGTGAATCACTTTCATTGACACTATGTTGCTAGTGTAAAAAACTTGTATTTTGCCAAAGAAAATATAACAACCGATATGGGTCCTCCTTGCATTAACACAGATGCTGCAACTGTGAGGCTTAGTTACAGTTTGTTAGGTCATAACATTGTGGAGGATACTATCTTAATTCTCACTCTGTGTAATGACAAACTCTGTAGCATTGTATGGTGAGTTTAAACTGACTTAAAATGATAAATGGTATTCATTGTGAAGTCATAAAAGTCATTCAGTGGGATTTAGATGAAAACTGTTTTGCTGTCCAATCTCTGACTTGTGTTGAATTTTGTCAGCACGACATCAGGTATTATTCTACATCACGAGAGTGTGGTCTGATTTTACTGATAAAAAGTCTGTACAGTTGAGTTTATTACTGTGTCAGTATATCATTGAACAGTATATTTGCTAATTAGAAATATAAGAAAATATATCAGTTTATATAACTGGAGCCTTCCTACATCATAAATAATCACTGTTGAAAGTAGCATATTCTGTGATGATGTTGAGTTATGGGAGAACATTCAGAGAAGAGCAAACAGGTTCCAAATTAGGAAGGGTTATTGTATAGAGACAGTTGAGTTTTTTAAGATTATTAAAGGTTTAGAATCCATATAGACAAATGACATTTGGATAATGATAAAAAAAATAAACTTTTCAGGTAGTAAATTTAATACACAAAATTTCTGTTTTGATTACATTGGCAAATGTAATTATTTGTATTCAGATGTGATAGAAGCTGCATCATTGAAGAGTTTTAAGAGATTGAATAAATATCTTAAATCAGGCTGGAATAGAAGAAAAGAGATTAATATATCAATATATATATTTAGATAGATAGATAGCTAGATATAGTTTGGAGTAGTATAGTAATAGAAAATGGGATAGCCTAGTTGAGCCAAATGACTCTTTATTCTTTGGAAATCAAATCTCAACAGAAGTCAAAATAAGCTGTTTGGTCAACTGTGAGGTTGAAACGTACCTTAACCTTAAGCCAGACTCATAGTCTATTCTATGTAATTTAGGCACTGATAGTCACTCTATCTGCTGTCCTGCAGTCTTTACCAGGAATTCCTAACATCCATTTGTACAGGCATAATATGTAGGGCTATACCAGAAGAAATAACAAATGAATCTTTCATATTTACCAGGAACAATATAATCTAAAATCTACCTTACACACTAGAAATTATAAATAACAATCATACCAAGGGTCAATTTATTTATATCTTTGTTAATCTAGAATAGTAATAACATGAAAAAGTTTTAGTTTAGAGTAGAGATTAAAAATAATATTCAACTCATCAGTAACATTTTGTGCACATGTTTAATTTTAATATTTGATGAAGCTTCTGATCCTGTTTTCTCATGTCAAAACAAACATCTTATTAAACTTATAAGTGCATTGAAATATGAAATAGATTTAGTATTTTAAGTGAATATTATAGTTTTAAAAGCAGTTTTCTTAATCTTTAACAATCTGATTATTGTTATCAATCTTTTACTAGATAATGTATGTCCAGACATGAAATGTGCATGTAACAGATTTTTGGAATAGCATTCAAGTTGTGACTTTTAGATAATATTAAATTGTTTTTCTTCTTTAAGTAGTAAATTTACCAGTGGTGTTTTTAGCCATCTATGTTTGTTTGTTTTTTTACTTTGAAACAGCACTAACCTTTAATATTCAATAATAAAACTATGGTGATGGAAATAACTACAGATTTAAATTGCAATTAAGCCATGAACTTTATTCTTTCATAGCTTTAAGGCCACCAGTAAAAATAAATACAGGGAATTTAAATTATCTGGATTAATTTCATTGCTATAATTCATAGCCTTCCCAATTCTTTCACACTTTTATGAAGACTTAATCTTATTTTAAATCTATCTCTACTTGTAGTAGGTGTAAGGTATTTTTTTAATGTTTAATGATGCATTTTTACATCTTATAAATCATAAGTTTAAAAAAAATTGCCTTGGTTGAGAATATTTTATTTTATTGTTATATAATCTTTACAATAGAAAACCAGTTGATTTTTAGTGATTTTCATATCACCAGAGTGAGAAACTGTAATGTTCATTATTTACAACTGAAACAATTTGCTAAAAACTCTATATGAAACTATCTACATTGTTTACATTTAGACCATTTATGTTTTTAAGAAAGAATGATGCAGAATGGAACAACAGATAGTCAAAAGTCTCAAGAGTATCATCAAAACTTCTCAAAAGCAGAACTTAGAAAGAAGCTAACTCCAATGCAGTATGTAGTAACTCAAGAAAAAGTCACAGAAAGGTAAGGAAATTAATATTTAAAAGGAATTTATGCACATAGATAGGTGAAAGGGATATGTACATAAAGGTGAGTGTCTGTATGGAGAGCATACACAATAATGAATGTCTACAGGGGAATGTGTACTTATAAATATTTACAAGAAATGAAAGCTTACTCATGAAGTAAAATTATTCTCTGATTTTTTTTATTTGTATAAAAGTTAATCCAAACCTATGATTCTGGTCTTTTATATATTCAGAAAGTTTTTAATAATAAAATAATTTCTTAAGGCAGGAATTTGTGGTATTTTGTGTTCATACTGCTGCATGATGTTGACATTAATATAATCCCAAAGTAATTTCTTATCAGAGAGTATGCTAGTACTTTCTATGTTGGGATGGCTTGGATGCCCGTATTAAAGCAATACAAAAGTCATCTGGATTTTCTTCTCTACGGGTCATCAGAAGCTAGATATGAAGAGCTACCTGGCATAGTTGCTCTATCTCCAGCGTATATGCCACTTTTTTGCTATCCAGAGTGGCCCAAAGTCGAAAACAGGCAAATATACAAAAACCAAGATTTCTTATTTTTGTTCATCATCATCTATCTACAACAGGCCTAGCAACTACATAGTTCTAGCAGTAACTGTAATTTTATTATCACTTGGTAGAGTAAAACAGTCATCACAGTCCTTGACTACCTATTTTATTATTATTCTATGAAAAACGTTTTTAAAGAAAAAGAATCATAATTCTAGTGTAAACTATGTTATTTTCCCTTGAAGTTAGTTTTCCAACAGAAATATGTTGTTCCTTTAAAATGCTTAAGTACAGGGTGAAATAGGAATTACCAGCCAATAATAGATGTAGTATACTAAAGATAACTAAAGGAAAGGTATAATGATGAAAGCTAAGATTCTATTCAAACACAAAGTTTTTGATAGACAAATTAAAGAAGCCAGTAATGTATAGAGTTTATTCTCCATATAAAGTTTGGATGACCGAGTCTGCTGTGTGATCATTAGCCAGATCAAGTGATATGTCCACTTTCATCTCTATCTCTTTTGGTTCCTTTTTTTCAAGTTCAGTAGCCAGCCCTACGTAGCTTTTTTATTTAGCAATAATTTTTTTTCCTAATACCTGTTTTATATTAGACCAGTTACTTATGAGTTTAGTGTAAGAACTAAGAATATAAGGATTTAAATTAATGTTTTCATACAACAAATTTCTAATTCACTAATTCTAAATTCCCGAAACGATTGAACTTGCACTACTTAAAGAAGTATATAGAGGGCCTTTTATTTTTTCTTAAGGTTTAGACAGAGATTATAATGAAAAATCATTTAATGCATTCAGAAATATTGAAATCAGAGTTTTCAAAATACAGTCTTGCTGGTCACTAAACTAACTTGAAATGTATTAAACTTTTTTTTTATCTAATGAATTAGGTCCTCTCTTACACTACTTGTTTTTCTGCAAAATGCTGAAGAGGTGTATAATTTATTATAGCATCTTAGGTTTCAACAGAACTTCACAAATGTTTGTAAGAATGGACATGTGTATCTGAAAGGGAAAAAATATAATTGCCATTTCCTCTGGAGCACTTTTTCTTTTTATCGTATGGTTTGGATGGCGTTTAGGTTATTGAAAAATATCATTAACTATTAGTTGATCACTTGTCCTCTTGAACAATTTTACATTTTTATATATATAAATTGGTTATTTTTGAAATGTATGTGAAAATACATATTTTGACCCTTTTTTGTGAATATAGTTTTAAATACTTTTATATTTGTAAATACACAAAAAAACAGTGTAATTTTCAAGGTAAATTATGCATTGGATAACACTGAAAATAATTTCTGACAAAATTATGAATCTCAGGTAAAAATTTTGTCATGATGTGCTGCTTATTGGTTGTTCTCTTGTTCATGTTAAAAATGAAAATGCTATGACTGTTAAGAGATTGTGCATATCCAGTGTTTATAGACAAAATGTTTTCCCATGTGCTTATAGTATGTTTTATAAAACATATTGTTTAATAGTTTCATTGTTAATATACATTTTTTAAGATGTTAGAAAAAAAATGATGTTTCAGTGTTAAGTCAATTTAGAAATATCGGAGCAAATCAGAATGTTCAAATACAGAAATGTATAAATTGTACACGTTTTATTTAGTATAGAAATGTAACTTATATGGAATAAGAGACAGATGCAGTAAAATATAAACATACCTAAATAATAGTGGTACAGTGATGTTTCAACTACAAAATTCAGAACAGTGCTGTTGTTACTTTCTACTTTATTGAATTTTTTTTTAAATTTTTAAGTACTAATATCACATTCACTAAGAGAATACCAGTTCATTTATGAATTTGAAATGGAATAATGATCCTTTTGTTCTTGTTTTTCTAAATGAATATTTTAATGCAAAATAGGACCTGTTGAAATGATTTAATTCATAGGAACATGATTTATGATATTGTAAAAATATCATTGAATTAATCTGTTTTTGGATTGAATCTATCAGCATACCTTGTACAGCTTTCATTTTTACACTTATTTATGTAATAGGGCATTTACTGGTGAATACTACAAATTAAAAGATACTGGAGTTTATGCCTGTGTTGTTTGTGGAGAGGAAATTTTTTCATCAGAGACCAAGTATGATTCTGGATGTGGCTGGCCCACATTCTGGGATGTCATCAATAGTAACAAAGTTTCACTGAAAACTGATTTTTCCCATGGTAAGAATTGTAATTAAAAAAAAAAAGACAGATACTGCATTTTAATTAAAATTTACTGTTATATACATTGAGAGACAGATTTAGTAATTTGAAAACAAAATTTTGCAGTACAGCTAGTTTAATGCAAAGATTTACCAATAGATAAGAATAAATAAAATAAGCTCTTTTCCATCTTCTGGAAAATAACAGTTAAAGAAGGTGTTTGTGTGGTAACAATTGACAGATAAAGATGTAGTAATTCATTTACATTAATCTTATCCTGCCTAATAAAGTAAAATTATGGACAATAAAGTTCATCTCCTTTAATATAACAATAAAACTAACCTTTTAATTTCTCATCTTACAATGCATTCAGAAAGAACATGAAATATGTATCTATAATTCAAGTTACTTACTGCCAACACTAAAAGTATTACTTTGCACTTCCCAGTGAGCTGGTAACAAACTCAACATATATTTTACTGATTACCAGGATTTAGCAGCTTATTTCTTAATATATATATTACAAAATATATATTATAACAAGTATATACGATATAACTTATTGTTTTTAAGTTTTGAAACCAAATATAATTTTTGCATATGTAAAATGCAATCCTAAATCAATAACTCTGAATGCAAGGCACCTTTCAGATGTTGCATGCACACCTGCTTATCAAATTTCAAAATACAAATAATAACTGTAACTCTGTTTCAAAATTTTTTTACTTAATAATATTTTATCACTGATATTTTGTAATGTTTATTTAGTGTAGATTGCTAAGAAAATGTTTTATAAAATTGCAAAACTCTTTCAAAAAGTTTCACCTGTAAACAATTTTTTAATAATGTTTCTGCACATCCCTAATTATAGATTTATATTTGATAACACTCAGCCTATGAAAATATAATGATTCATGTTATGTTTTTTCACAACTTTAATTTTCTGTTAATGGTTTTATTACTACAGTCTTTTGGTGCAACATTTTATGTTACAACATGCTATCTAAACAATATCTGATAAAGCTCAGCTTTGAAAATAGTGTAGTCAATGACTAAATATTATTAGATAAAGCAAATTATAGTCCATATATGTCAATGTAGAACAGTAAAGTATTTTGAGCAGTAATTTCTGATTTGTCAAGATACTGAATACCCCTAGCTTCCGTAGGAATGAATAAAGGAACCTATAGGAAATTTGGAAGAATTAGTAAAAACACCACAGATCTGGAAATTTTGTCACAGTTTCTTTAGACATTCTTTTCATTCCTGAAAATTCTGTTTGAAAGCTATAGCAATATTATTCTATATGAAAACGATAGGTAAACTTGTTTAGTTTTAACAAATACAGTAGGTGACAGCAAAATATTCCAGTGACACAGATACTTTTATTGATTATGATAATGTTTATGGTATTCAAACTCGTTTATTCAAAAGAAACTGATTATCAGACAAATACTGATCTTAACCAAGAATATTGTTAGCAAAAATCATGATAGTTAGTCTAACAAAGGTAATGGTGATGCCATTTTGAAAGATGTGATCCTAGTTACCAATAAATCTTTTTCAGATTTTTCTGTTGTTTTTTTTATTATTATTTATAGCCAAAAATTGTAACTACTGCAATTTGCAAAATAAAGTTTAAAAAATTTGATAACGAATATCGATGAGGTTGAATCTAACTGGTCATGTAAAATTGCAGTTTCTGATCAATAATAAAACAAATTGAAATTTTAGGATGAAAGAAAGTATTTTAAAAAAAAAGTTTTTTACAGCAGTGTTTCACAACAAACTTTTGGGAATTTCTCAAACTATAAAAATAGAAATAAATACTAAATCAAGTTATCTGCATTTTTTTAAAAACAAAGACAAGATACTATTTAGTCAGTTGTATTAAGTTTCATACAATTTAGTATGTTCTGTTGTATCATAATATACAAGTCAGTGTTGACTCGGTTGTCAACTTTGACAAACAAAACATTGATGCTATATGTATAGATATTAATACATTTTTATCATTCCTTAACAATATTTTATAAATAAATAAATTTTTCTAATTTTTCAAATAATCTATAGAGTAATTAAGCTCAGTTTGTTTATTAGAGATAAAATTGGAGCCTCACAGGGACTAGAAAAGTTACTTTTACTTACTAGTCATTTATAATAATCAAATATTTTATCTAACTTAAAATTTTCACCACAGATTCCATGTTTTTGGTGATTACAGATGGTAATAACATACATAGGATGTGTGTATGTATTAAATATGTGGTGATATGATACAAGTATCATATCATGAAGCTGTGACACAATTATATTGATACATTGTCCGATATGATAGGATACATGAAATTTGGCAAGCTTTCAGTAAACATTGTCTTTTGTACAGAAAAAATCAAAATTTCCAATAAAGTATTTTTGCTAAAAATTAATGATTCAATAAAGGAAGATGAGTATTGAATACTACATGTTGTCTTCATTTCTTTTATCAAAAACATTACTTGCAAAGTAACATAACAAATTAACAATAACAAAATAGATAGACAGATATTAACTTTTTTATTTTACTTCTCTTGCCAGCTGCAATTTAGTTGATCAAACCTGAGAATTTGAAAAAGCACTGTAAAGTGTGGAGTACTTAAATAATGCATTGTTAGTAATATAGATAATAAATTACAGACAAGACTATCAAACTTTGTAACAAACCATTGGTAAAACTTCTGTATCTAGATACATATCGTATCATCAATATCTAGATACATATTGTATCAACTGATAGGATGTAGTAAATTTAGATAATAATATATACATGCACATGCTTTAAGATCAGGCTGATGGTCTTTACACAATAGAAAAGGTAGATGATAGTTACTAAAAATGCCAAATTAATTTTTTTGTCTGTCAGTTACATTTAACGAAATAAAGATTTGGATCTAAACATTATGAACTAGTTGTTTTCTTTTCATATTTAAAACTAAGATCACTTAATGTGTGTATTATTTTCAATTCTCCTTGTGCATGTTTTGAATTCCTTGGCTGTTTTTCTCTTAGTTGGAAACAATCTTTTGCTACTCGCTACAAAAGGTAACATTGGGAGGACAGAAGTGTCATGTAGGAAGTGTGGTGGACATCTTGGCCATCTGTTTGATGATGGGCCTAGACCAACAGGGAATCGGTATTGTATCAATTCATCTTCGTTAAATTTTAAAGGAAGTGAAACAACTCAAAATAGGCCTACTGAAAATAACCAACAGTAAGATAATTCAAAAGATACATATTCTTTTACAACAGCTACTTCCACATATATATATGTATATATATATATATATATAT